CTTCAGAGAAATTAGTTCCAGGAGTGAGTCCTCGTGAACCCATTTTTAATTCTGCCCTTGATTCCAACAATCAAGGATTTAAAAAAAACAAAAAAAAACAAAAAAAAAAAAGATAACCACCGTGGGAATCAGGTAAAACTGGAAGATGAGATTTTAAACTATTAAAAATCAAAGTCTATGGTCTGCTAAAAAGGAGTACCCAGAATAATTTAGGCCAGGGATGGGCAAAAGGGCCACCGTGGGCTGGATCCGGCCTGCCAAGTGGGTGGATACAGCCCACGGCAGCCCTGCTGCTCTGCCGCCCCCAGGCTAATTAGGACCTGGGGGCGGGGGAGCACGTGAAGCATTCTCCACTCTGCCCCCGCTCTGCGAGCAGTGTGCAATGCTTCAAAGCGCCACGTGCTCCTAGCAGGGTGGTAGGAGGCTTTGCACACTCCTCCACCCCCAGGCCAATTAAGGCCTGGGGGCAGCGGCACACGCGAAGGTTCTTCCCACCCTGCCAGGAGCACATAGCACTTGAAAGTGCCACACGCTGCTTGCAGTGCAAGGGCAGAGCAGAGGAGGCTTTGCATGCTCCCTCGCCCCCAGGTCCTAATTAGCCTGGGGTCAGTGAAGTGCAGAAAGCCTCCTTCCACCCTGCCAGGAGCACACAGTGCTATAAACACCGCACACTGCTCACAGGGTACGGGGGAGAGCAGAGGAGGCTTCATGCGCTCCCCAGGCCTTATTGGCCTGGGGGCGGGGGAGCATGAATAGCCTCCTCCCGTCCTCTCAGGAGCATGTGGTGCTTTGAAGCACCACGTGCTCCTCATGAGGGGGGGGGAGCGGAGGAGGCTTTGCATGCTCGCCCACCCCCAGGCCCTAATTGGCCTGGGTGCAGGGAAGCGAGGGAAGTCTTCTCTCACACCAGGGGCATAGGAACCTTGGGGGAACATGAGGTGGGGGCAAAGGCACTCCCTCACCCCTAGACCAATCATTGTCTGGGGGTGGGGAACCCAGAAATATCTTGGCCCAGTCCCTTTCACTCAATGTCCTACCCCTTCCTGTGGGACCTGGGGCCACTTCAAAAATTTCCAAAGTGGCCCCTGGCAAAAAATTATTGCCCACCTTTGATTTAGGCACAAACAAAAAGTCAGGGTGGGAGAAAGGTGCTAGGCTAAAATATCTCAACAATGTTCAAAAGAGTAAACAGAGATCAAGAGTTTAGTTCTTGTGTATGTAGCACATGTGACTCTAATGGGTTGTTGTCACAAATTTAATTAGAGTATAAGTATCTCAGGGCAAGGATCATGGACCTTATTCTGATCTCACATCAGAGAAAATCAGGACTAGCTGTATTGAAATAATAGATCCTAGTTGATAAGGGACCATTGTGTTAATGTAGTCTAACCTGGAAGCTATAAGACTTGGAACTAGAACAGGGATTCTCAAACTTTGTGACTCCCTTCTGACAACAAAAATTACACAACCCCGTGGGGTGGATCTGAAACCTGAGCCCACTTGAGCCCTGTTGCCCTGGATTGGAGGCCTGAAGCCTGAGCCCAACTACCCTAGGGCAGAGGGAGAGGGAAGTCCTCAGGCTTTAGTTTTGGCCCAGGACCCCAGCAAGCCTAAGCCAGCCTTGGCGACTGCATTAAAACAAGGTTGTGAGTATGACCCACTTTGGGGTCCTGACTGCTGATTCAGAGCGTATATTTTAGAAAAACATCCAATCGTGATTTAAAAATTCCCAGTGATGTAGAATCTACCACAACCGTTGATAAGCTAAATAAGTAGACCTCCTTGAATCTATCACTATAAGGCATATTTTCTAACCCTTTATTCATTCTTGTGGCTCTTCTCTGAGCCCTTTCCAATGTATCATCATCCTTCTTGATGACACTGCTGCTGAAATACTGTGTCCAGTTCTAATCTCACCAGTGCCAAGTACAGAAGTAACATAGGTATTCAAGCTACTCAAGTTTCCCCGGTTTATGAATCAAAAGAGACTGCATTACCCCTTCAGCCACAGCATCACACTGGGAGTTCAGTTCAAGTGATTAGCCACCATGACTCCCTAGCCTTGTTCAATAGTCACTATTCCAGGATTGAGTATCCCACCCTGTATGTATGGCCTACTTTCAGTGATCCCAGGTGTACTCATTTAAATGTAGGTGCATTATAATACATGTGTCTGCTTGTGCCCAACTAATCAAGTGATCCAGATTGCTCTGCATCAGTGATTTGTTCTCTTTATTATTTACCACTCCCCTAATCTTTGTATTATCCGCAAACTTTATCGGTGATAATTTTATGTTTTATTCCAGGCTGTTGTCAAACAGTTTTGGGCCTAGAACTGATCCCAGTGGGAAAGCTTGACGATGCTTTGCCACTTATAGTTTCATTTTGAAACCTATCCAGTGACATAACAAGGCCCCATAGAGCCCTGGTGCAAGCATAGATTATGGGTCCCCTTTCTGATTTCAAATTTTATAATTTTGCTCCAGTCTTCCTTCTCCTCTCCCAATATTCCCCATTCCCACACAATTCACCCCACCAACCTCAGCATCCCCCACTAACTGCAACACTTCACCCTAGTGCCCCAATATTCCCTATTCACTTCATAACCCACCACCAACTTGCTCGCAGCCTCTCAGCCATTATCCTCTGGACATCCCTGACCACTCACTGGCACTTCCTGGTTCACCGCTCTACTCCCATCCACACCTAGGATGGCTCTGCCTGATCCTGAGTGTCCAAAAACTCCACTCACTCCCCTCGTCCCATCTGTGTACACAAAGGAATGGGCAAATTCAAATGGCGAACAGCACTGCAACCTGGCACATGGGGTTGCAGCACTGCTCAGGTTTGGTTCAGCCCTCTGACAAGAGATGGCAGGGCTAATATGAGTGAATGTCATTTAATGAGTGGAATCACAGCAGGTAAAGTGTACCCCAACAATCTCATGCGCCATGGCACAATTATGCTATCTGTACTATTGGAGCTACCCATTGCACTTATCAGTTAACCAGCTTCTAATCCATTTAATGTGTGCCATGTTGCTTTTGATTTTTGCTAGGTTCTTAATAAAAATTGTATGTGGTACCAAGTCAAATGCCTTACAGATGTCTAAGTATATTACATCAACATACTGTCTTTATCAACTAAACTTGTAATCTCATAAAAGAAATACTAAGTTAGTTTGACAAAATCTATTTTCCACAAGCTCATGGTGATTGGCATTAATTATATTAATTTGATTATTTAATAATCAAGTTCTTGTATCAACTGCTCCACCATTATACTTGAGGTCAGCACCAGGCTGACAGGCCTATAATTACTTGGATTGTCCCATTTATCCTTTTTATATATTGGAACAACGTTAGCTTTCTTGTGGGCCTTTCACACTGTTTCACCACACTGAATATTAACAGTAATGATACAGTGAAGTTCTTGGCTGTTCTTTTAAAGCTTTCAGATACAAAATATCCTGACCTGTTTATTTTAAATGTAGAACATTAGTAGATTTTTTTTAAACACTCCCCTGAATTACTGTTGGAATTATGAGCATAGTCTGAGGAGCAGGGGCACTGTCCCTTCAAATGGCAAGTTTCACTGATCAGTGCTTCGCATCTGAAGCACTACAGTGTAGAAGTTGTTCTAGGTTATTTTGTGCATTCAACAGTACCAACCACAGCAAGTTTCGCAGATGCGAAATTTGTTCCTTCACATGGTTGCATTGGCTTGACTAGAATTGCTCCACAAATAAAGAAGTGAATCTATACCTAAGGAAACAGTTTGATTATCATCTTATAATATGAATATATCATTCCACTTTTTCTCAAGTACAGAACAGAAATATTTCTTGAACACTTCTGTCTTGTTTGCATTATCATCTTTCTAGTAATGGATTACTGTCAATTCACAGTACTGAAAACTGCTTTGAAATTTAGAAGTACCCTCATGTCTTTTTAAATGTCTATGAAGCAGTGCTGCCAACCCCAGGATGAATTGGTCCCCCCAAAATAATAAGACCAGCATAAAAATCTCATATAGAACTCTCAAAACTAAACATTTGTGGTTCCTTTTATTTGCCTTCAACATTCTGACCCTTTAGGATACACTTGGATCATAGTCAGGTGCTGGGGCTTTCAGAAAATAAAAGTATCTTAATGAGTCTTATGCTGAATCATGAGAACTGGCAACACTGGAAAAGCATAGGCAGAACTGTACAATTAGTAATAATAAAAGTACTAATGATCAGAAATAGGCCCAAACTATTAGTCAGGCCTGGATACATATTTTGAACAATGATAAGTCAGAGATATTTTGATCTCAGATTTTGGTTCAAATCCACTTGCAATCAAGCTATTTTATTTACACAGTCTCCTATAAATAGCTTTCTTCTGATTCTGAATACATTCCACACACCTATTCCCAGGATGAAATGAATGCACAGTGTGTGTCCACAAGGAATGCAGAATCAAGCCCTTTTAAAAAAGATCTAACACACATAAAAACTTTCACAAAAAGTTAAATGTGAAAGCACTTCTGCATCTTATCATCTTGTTAGTTTCTAGAAATTCTAGCTGTTTCTTACACACATTTAATTCATTTGTTTTATTGACCTTATGTAAGTTACAATTTACTACTTACTGATCTTAATAGTGGCTAATTCTATATGTTTATCATGCTTAGCCTGAGCTTGGTCTGTTTCCCTCCCCTCTGCAGTCTTATACATATCTTTCTGCTTTAATTTCTGGCTACAACAATCCTAATTCAGTATATCAAACTAAATGAAACCCAACATAACTAAGGTCTTTTTGTTTGGTTAGTACTAGAATTTGTGAAAAGTTTAAGGAATGTATGGTATAGGGTATAATAAATATAGTAACTATAATGCAAAGACCCTGTTTTCATATGAAGATCATTTCCTAGGACTAAGTAAAAGAAAAACTGATTGAGAAAGGGCCAAAACCATAAGATGCCATTATGAGTTTTAGGAGTAAATTATAACTTACCTTCCATTTGTTTCAGTTTCATGCATAAAAGTGCTCCAAATTCTGAGTGTTCATCAAAAGAGCTTTGTTTCACTTTTAGAAAACAATTATTTCTGCCATTTCATCACTGAGAAATTTACAGCTAAACAAACAAATCTGAAAACAGTCAACACATCTTGGAGAAGACCTACTAAAGCACAGTGTGAGCTCCCTCTTCTGTCCATGCAGCTGCAGTGAAACACTGCTTTGGCAGCTGTGCTAAAATCATTAATGATGCTGAGTTAGAAACAGAAGGATATTTTTTGAATGACATATCACTGCAAAAGTTATGGAAAGTTGTGGGGAAAAAACCACTTACAGCATTGCTAATTTCAGCCCTCTTTGTAATAAAGACATTTTCAAATGACCGTCAAGTTCCAAACTCCCATTTATACCTTTGAAAATCTCCCTGGGGAAAAGGGATGAATCAGTGAAGAATAAATGGGTCAAGTATCAGAGGCCCAGATCTATAAAATATCTTTGGAGATCTGAGCCAGACATTCTTAAAATCTGTGAAAAACAACAAAAATAAATAAAAGCTACAAAAATATAATCAAAGATGCACTTTTAGTGAAGGGTACCAACTAAAATAAGCCATGACAAAATAAAAGAGAAACAGCTTATCACCCAGGCCCATCTGAATAAATATGCTAAGGCTTTGCCTATACAGGTATATTTTCTAGTATGATCTAAGATGTTAATTTAAACCAACATAAACCAACATATACCCATCTGAACATTCATATTCTGGAGTAAGATTGCTTTTTTTCTTCCTCTTCCTCTTCTTTTTTGTTTGTTTGTTTGTTTGAGCTTATATCAGTTGGGAAGGGATTTAAAATAAACTGAAAAAGGAAATCATGTACTGGATTAAAAGTGTTCATATGGGAGTTTATCCCATATAACTGGCCTTAATATCATCAAAACTATTCAAATTAGAATATTGTTAATTAATCCTATTTGTTAAGTGGTGACATTGTGGTTGGTACTGTTGAATGCACAAAATAACCTAGAACACTTCTACACTGTAGTGCTTCAGTATAGACATTTGCTACTGCAAACGGTGAGGCTCCTCCATCACTACAGTTAATACCACTCACGAAGAGATGGTAAGGTAAATGGTAGAATTCTTCCATCGACCTAAAACTATCTGCACCGGGATTAGACTGGCATAGCTACATCTCTCAGAGGTGTGGATTTTCACACCCCTGATATAGTCCAGTCAATGTAAGTTTTCAGGATAGACTATCCCTAACTATCTGCATAAAGCTTTGTAGGATCAAGGCCTAACTAAGCAAACTGCACAAACTGGACAAAAGTGCACTAAAATAGCCAATGTGCATAGATTTACTGAAAGAAATCAGACAAAGGATGACAGCATTTTCATTGGCATGCTAGCAGCAAAGGACTTACATAATGATAAGTTATAATAGCATTCAAAGTGATCCAAAATCATATTAATTGGCATGGTGACAGGAACCACAGTATGTGGACACTTATTATGCCTGTGTATGGACTTCTGTGTGCCCACAAGCCCCATTGACTTCAGAAAGGCTTCACGAGGTGGGTCTGTGTGTATCATATTTCAGGATTGGCATTTTATAGAGCACTTTACAATTTTATAGTGTTGTGCCATATCAATTAATCCTATAATAAGACTTAGAAGAAGGCCCTAACCTGAATATGATAGGTTTGCATTACTGCAATCATTACTAACTTCAGACAAGATCCTACAAGCACTTATATGCTTAGCTTTCCTGAGATGTTCACTCTAACTGAAGTCACTGGGAGCTAGATCAGGTCCTTAAATGATAGTGATCTCCGGGCTGGGCATTTCCCAGCCCTTACTGTCCAATAGGAGTATCTGAGGGGTCAGTACAAAACTGCTAGTCCTTAACCCCGGCACTCATCCTGAAAATTATGCAGGTACACAATTTTATGTCTGCAAATGTTTTATGTGTGTATGGTTTTATCCAGGGGACTAGAATAGCAATCAACCTGAGGAACTCCTTGCCAGAGGATGTTGTGAAGACAAGGGGTGTGTCTAGACTAGCAAGATTTTGCGCAAAAGCAAGTGCTTTTGCGCAAAATCTTGCCACCTGTCTACACTGGCCGCAAGTATTTGTGCAAGAACACTGACTTTATACTGTACAAAATCAGTGGTTCTTGCGCAAATACTCTGACGCTCCCACTCAGGGATAAGCCCTCTTGTGCAAGTATTCTTGTGCAAGAGGGCCAGAGTAGACAGCCAAGTTAATTTCTTGCGCAAGAAAGCGCGATGGCTAAAATGGCCATCAGAGCTTTCTTGCGCAAGAAAGCATCTACACTGGCACTGATGCTTTTGCGCAAAAGCAAATCTTTTGCGCAAAGGCACATGCCAGTATAGATGCTCTCTTGTGCAAATACTTTTAACAGAAAAACTTTTCCGTTAAAAGTATTTGCGCAAAATCATGACAGCCTAGACGCAGCCAAGGACTTTAACAAAGAACTAGATAAATTCATGGAGGATAGGCCCATTAATAGCTATTAACCAGGATGGGTACCAATGGTGTCCCTAGCCTCTGCCAGAACCTGGGAATGGGCCATAGGAGTTGGATCACTTGATGATTACCTATTCTGTTCATTCCCTCTGGGGCATCTGGCATTGGCCACTGTCAGAAGACAGGATATTGGGCTAGATGGACTTTTAGTCTGACCCAATATGGCCCTTCTTGTAATCTTTCAAAAGGAGCCTTTATATGGAAAAGACTTCAAAGAGCTAGCTGTGACATGAACCTTTGCAGGTGCAAGATCTGGTCTTATTCAAAGTAGGAATAAGAGCTTCCGGAAAAGGGCGCTTTTTCCGGAGGATCGGGGCCAGTGTAGACGCTCTTTTCCGGCTTTTTTAAAAGCCGGAAAAAAGCGGCGGACATTTTTATTTAAATGCCGCGGGGGATATTTAAATCCCCCGCGGATTTCCCTACTACGATAGGTGAAATTAACATGCCCCTTCCGGAAAAGGGGCCAGTGTAGACGAGCCCTAAGGGGGGAAGGGGCACTCACCAACACGGGCACTGTGATAATTAAGTAATAGCAGCAAAAACTAACTACTCATGATTAATGCCCACAAAACAGATATCAGACAAGATCACAAAGAAAAAACAGTTTCTTGCCATTTTAACCAGAAAGGACACTCTCTCAATGACTTGACTTCACCTGCATTCTGCTACAAAGACCTTTTACATCTGCACTTGAAAGGGAATCCTCTGAACTGTCATTCATGTTAAAATTCAACACTTTCCAAAAAGGACTCAACAAACACTTGAACTATCTCACCCATTACCAAGATAGTTTCCCCAATTATCACCTCTAATACCATTAACTCACAAACATCCCACTCTCCCCACCTCTAATATCATCAATTCACAGACACTTACCTTCCTTCCTCCCCCTGCATCCCCCTCCTGTTCTGAAATGTGATTTGTCCTTTTCATATGTGTTCATTTTTTTAAATTGTATCCTTTGGTATATATGGTTGTGACTATTTTCTTCCACTATTTGATCTGAGGAAGTGGGTCTGGCCCACGAAAGCTCATCATCTAATAAACCATCTTGTTAGTCTTTAAAGTGCTACATAGTCCTGCATTTTGCTTCTGGTGTTAGTGGTGAGGACAGGGATCATCTGACCCGCCTGTTGCGGCCATAGAGTTCCGCTGGCAGGAGACTTCTTTAGAGTGGCCAAGCAGCCACTCAGCACCCAGCTGTTTGCGGGCGGTCCCTGAGCCGCTGGCAGGGCGCGAGCCGGAAAGTGATGGGAATCAGGTGTGGAGCCGGTGTGATGGCTTTACCCCAGCGGCGCAATGATCAGCCCCGCGGCGGGGGCGCAATCAAGCGGGGAGGGGGCTCGCGCTCGCGCTCGCTCCACGCTAGTGAGGGACTCTTTTTTTAAGCGTAGGAAGTTTAAAAACAAACTGCTGAGTCCGCGAAGCGCCAGGAAAAGCAAGACTGTGTCTGAGCTAAACTTTGAGCCGGTCACAAGACTCCCCGGCCCTGGGGTCGGATTCCTCTTCTGAGTCGCCTTGGGAGCCAGCAGCCCCGCCTGCCAAGGACAGGTAGGGGAAATGCGCGAGACAGGGGCTTACCCAGAGCTAGCAGGGCGCGAGGGGCTCTGAGCCCCTCCAACTGCCCCCCCCTCCTCTAGCGAGTGGGGGAGGAGCGAGGCGCCGTCTGATGGAGACAATCAAAGCGCCCTTCCGCGGGGCTGTTCCTGGCCCAGGCTGCGGGGGAGTTAATGGGCTGCAGCTGTGCCTGCTGCGGGGCCGGGGCGTGGCGGGGCGGAACGCGCTGTCCTGCTGGCGCTGCGTGCGTCGCTTCCTCCATTCTGAGCTCGCTTGGCCGAGGTGGTGTCTTGAGTCCCGGCAAAACCACAGCTGTCTGTCTGTCTGCCTGCTCTGGGGCAGTAGGATGTCAGTGAGCCGTGCCCTGGGCTCCTTCCCTTTGCACCGGGGATGGAGCAGGCCCCTGAAATAGTGAGAATCGGGAGAGTATGCTCATGATTAAAATCTTCCCCCTTTTCCTGTGGGAGGAATGGAGCCCTGACCCCTAAACCTCTCCCCAGCGTTTGTCTTTCCTGAGACTCTGCTGAAGGATCACCCAAACATTGTGCTCCTGGTCAGGCCAGCTTCTGTGAAGGCAGCGCCTTTCAATAAACTGGTGATATGCCAGAGGTGCTGGCTGTCGGTTAGCAACGCAGAATGCCATTTTAAGTGAGGGAAGAGACATAGTCATAGAGCTGGAAGAGACCTCCAGAGATCATCAAATCCAGCCCCTTGCCCAAGGCAGGACCAATCCCAACTAAATCAACCCAGCCAAGGCTTTGTCAAGCTGAGGTTTTAAAAAACCTCTAGGGATGGAGATTTCACCACCTCCCTAGGTAACCCAGTCCAGTGCTTCACCACCCTCCTAGTAAAACAGTTTTTCGTAATAGCCAACTTAGACCTCCCCCACTGTAACTTGAGACTATTGCTCCTTGTTATGCCATTCCTTACTACTCAGAACAGCCTCTCTCCATCCTCTTTGGAACCTCCCTTCTGGAAGTTGAAGGCTGCTATCAGATTCCCCCCCCTCCCCCACTTCTCTTCTGTAGACTAAATAAACTCAAATCCCTCAGT